GGAATGACCTGATGTTTAGTCACATTCAAAAGCGCTATCTTGGTATACTATCCATTCATACACCAGTTTCTGCAAAACGGGATAGCGCAGCTAGTAGTGTAAATAAAAATACAATTCGAAATATGATTAGTAGTCAGTCGAAAGAAATAAATTGTTTGACCCTTTGAGAAAAATAAAGAATGTTTGTTTCATGTATTTGCAGTGAATAGAGAGTCTAAAGTTGTTGTCTAATTCACTTTTTCTGAAACACCCTCAATTGTTCTCCACTAACAACATCAAAATTACACGATCACCGAATAGTAGCTAATTAATTAACCCCTACCATAAGATCCTAAACAATAGAAAAAACATAATACGACATATGAAAAGAAGAAAGTATCATTGAATGGATAGAGCACTTTTTACCGTTTTATAAACGGAAATAGCGCAAATAGTAAAATCATTATTGTATTAAACTTCAATTTTAGTTCAATTTTTGTGAACCCGAGAAATCTTCATTGAACTAATCAAACTCAATGGAATCAAATCTGTATCAATAAAGCCACTACCATCTCCCAACTTATCCTCTATTTGACTACTATACAGACAGTTTTTCCAATCAGAATTAGAACCATCGGCGGGGACCACAGGATTAATTTCGTCTAAAAGATTGCAATACCTTTCACGCCAACGTTTCCATCGAGTCTCACGGTATCGATTCAACCATGCGCTGTATCCAATTCTTTTGGTTTTTGTCTTCTTTCTATTCTTGTCTTTCTTTTTTGAAAAACGGTCCTGGTCCTCATCACTATCCTCGCTGTCGGAAGCTTCCAAATCAGTAACAGTTTCATCTTGAACTTCACATATGGTCTTGGAGGGTTCTTCCTCCTTTTGATTTATCCTCTTTTTGTAACGCTTTCTGGATTTCTCCACAATTAGTTTCCACTCGGTTTTATCCTCGTCCATCACCCTTCCAAATTTATTGGTATAACCAGCATCTTTCTCCTTTTTCTCAGCCTTTCTGTAGGCTTCGTGCAACGGGATAAGATCAAGAAAGGGATTATACAACGATAAACCTCCTTTCTCAACTGGCCAATGCACCCAAGAGTCCATTACATCTTTACCCTTCCAAATGTGCGAAAACTTAAGCTTTAAGGCTTCCACAGGTTCTCCACCAGCTTCTTTGTGAACCTCTTTCAAAATTGATTGCAGAGCTTTCATCATTTGGACAATGTGCTGTTGTCCAAAGGTGGTGGCAGGTTCTATAAAGTTACGAATGAAAAAGCGAATGTAGCGATTGTGACAATGAACCCATCCCATAATTGTTTCCGATTTTTGAAGGTATTGACGCATCTCTTTCACATGAGGATTTAGTAATTCCTGATCAATTCTGAATATCCCATCCGAACCGAGAACAGTAAAACCCCATTTAACCTGTCTCTGGGGTAATGGCTCTGGGCCATGTATGGTGCTGGCAAAATTTCCCAAATATGTGCAACTTACTGAGGCACTTTTCTCCTCATTCAGTTTTAGCCCAGCTACATTCACAAATTTATTAATACCAGTCCAGGCTTGCTTGACCATTTCCTGATTATGACCCCAAAACCAAAAGTCATCATGGATTCTATATAATGATAGGCCAGAAACTTGATTTACGTACAGGTCCATGATAAAGAGGAGGGATTCTCCAAAAAGAGAACTTAACATATGTGAAACTGGAACTCCACGCGTTCTTACATGCACCGTGGAGTCACACAATTCAAGTTTGAGCGGACACTCCAAAAATTGCCTGAAGAAGGTGGTCCAATGTTCCGACACTCCAAAGAAGTTCATCAGGATGTACACCGCTTCATGGACAATTGATGGGCCGAACCACTCTATGTCTGTTTGTACAACAGTTAATGGGGTTTCCGGTCTCATAATGTTGTTAAGCTGAATTTCATTGCTGATTAAACGCAGCAACTTTTGTTTGATCTTAATTGGGGCCATCTCCGAAGCAGTTGACTTATTTCGGTTTTCATCGTCGTACCCGGTCCCTGCCAAGTCTCGCATTTGGTAAGGGAGAATAGAAAGAAATGACTTGCCATGAAACTCTCTGCGGTAACCTTCAATAGATTCAAACTTGGACTCAAAATACAAATCCCCTTCAGTGCCAGCTCCACGTTTCCACATTTTAGAGGAATACATTTCTTTGAAAAGTGTTTTTAGCTGGATGCTCCACTGGGCGCCCACATAATGTAGGAAAAGTGCAGTAACAATATCTTCGTCTATGTAAGCCCGATAACGACCAGCCATGTTCCGTCTAAAATCTACATGCACAGGTTCAAGCCACTTCCATTGCATAAAATTCCTAAGGCGATTTGTTAGCAGGGTGCACACTTCATTGAGAGCATTGGCATTTTCCTTTAGCTCCTTCAACGTAACAGCTTTCTCCGAACCCAGTAAATCCTCAGCCAATAACGACTCAATGCATAATTTAAGATGTTCAACGCTCACAGAATAACCAGTATGAAATTCTTGGAAAACTTAACCATGCGTTCGCGAGTCTTTAGCAAGCAGTTTTTGTGAACAGGATCATCCATGTTAAACAGCTCAGTATTAAGAAATTTCTCAAACTCTTCTTTTTTAAAATTTGTAGGAGCTTGGAATATTCTTGCACTAAACTCCTGTATAGTTGTTTCTTTATCTTTTGAGTTCTCTTGAGTCTCCATCCCAGTTGTGTCCTCGTCACTGTCTGCATCATTTAAGTCCATGTACTGGGTCATAACATTGGCATAGAGACACGAGTACTCACATCTTTCAATTTGAAACCTTATTTTTTTGATGAGAGTCTCAATCCACTGACGCACTAAATGTTTGCTTCCAAAATAAATCACTTCATCTGTATTTTCTACCTTTATCCAGTTCAAAAACACGGTTAGATCTTTAGTTTTATCTTTGGCTGGATTCAGGGAACTTGAACAGTTCTTCAGTTTCTCGTGAATTTCTTGGAGAAATGGAAGGCTAGCCTTATTTTCTGGTTTTTCGTACTTCTCCAAAATTGGTTGGAAGCAGGAGTTAAGTAATGATTTTTGGTTGTCAAGCCATGCCAATTTTTCCTTGGTAACCTGGTTGATCACAGTGCGCAGGGAAGTTTTGTTGGTAGATTGGGTCATTGGTGCCATTTTATTTGAGGGGATAAATTTTTTGCATAAAAAATACAGATGAGTGTTGATATATTGCTATTAAATTGTCGCCACACTACTACAAAAAGAATAATATTTTTAATAAATTATTATGATGTGACCAGTTTGAATCTTACTGTAATTTAAGTGATCACGTCTTTTGAGAGACAATATACGATCAGCCTTTGAATAGATTTATAACACTGCCACCACAAATTACAGAGACACACACAGCACTGTTGTTCCTTGTAGACTCAAAGAACGAGTGAAGCCGAATTTACTCTCTTCTTGTCTTTCACATATGGCAAATGGTGTATCAAAAGTATAACCGGAAACGTTTTCAGTGTAATAGAATCAGAGTGCACATTGTTTGGCTGTGTTGTGTGAGTACAAAGGCGTCTTGGTAATAAATTTTCTTCTTTTCGTTTTGACTAAAGGAAAATATGTTTTTTAGTTCCAAAGCTTATAGAAAAGGTGAGACACGAAAAACGATATAATTTAGAACGAAAACATTTTTTTGATAGTTTTCGACAGTCTACAACGAGTTACGGATGTTTTTATGGTTTAGAATAGCCCATTTACGTTGAAAGAGTAATATTAAATTTTAAATGTATGTAAAATGAAAAGTTTTTTGATTGATCAATAAATCAATCACATAAATGAGAAGACTATACGAAAGTTGATTAGCCAATAAAGGGAAAAAACTATTCGAACCTTTTAAGGAAAACAAATGTTTGTTTCATACTAGCTGCACTGCTTTTTTTTCAAAAACGGGTGTATGAATGGATAGTATACCAAAATAGCGCTTTTGAGTATAACTGCAACACCAGGTCATTCCTTTCTACCAACTGTTCCATAGTTACAGAATCAATAAATCACTTTCATTCCAGTAGCTCATTGTATACAACATTTCTAGTGTATACTTTACCATTCTCATGCTTT